GGAAGGAAGGAAGGAAGGAAGGAAGGAAGGAAGGAAGGAAGGAAGGAAGGAAGGAAGGAAGGAAATAGTTAACAAGGCACAATATGATAAGCATGAAGAGTCCCTGAGACTCTGGTTGGGCTCAGTATCTCCTTTCTCTAGTTAAGTAGTTCAGAATTAGGAAAATACAATACAGACTATTTTATAGGAAATATACCTATAGGAAATAAACCAGTTGGCTAGAGAGTATATAGCTTTTTATCACTTTTTTTTAAAAAAAGACCTTTTTCAAATGCAAAGATTGGTCCATTTTTAATTATCAGCAAGCCAGACTAATTACTTCACTAAGCTTAAACTGCTTTCAATTACAACTTTGCCATATTGCTACAAGAGGAGTAACTACATTCTAAAACGCTGGATGAATGCTAAACGAATGAGGCAATCCTTAAGAGCGTTTTGTTATTTTGAAAACTACCAGTATAGCATATAAATCACAGTATCAATACTGAAATTTAAAGCTAAACTTTCCTTTAAGTTTATTGGCAACTCCACATAAGAGAAACAACACAAAACGGAGCAAACAACGCTGCTTTGATTATCCTACCCGGGGTCATGCGATTCAAAATCCTCCAATAAAAATACTGAAATATTTAATGTATAATCTACTTAAAGAGCAGTCGCTTGGCAACCGTTCAGTTACGATGGACCCACCTTGAGGCTACTTAAGATCCAAATTTTAATTTCCAATCTGTGCCCCTCCCCTTGCAGTCACATGACCAAATTTTGGGTGCCTGGCAACACCAGTGCATTTACATCTGTTTGCAGCATCCCGTGGTGAACAACCTCTATTTTATGACAGCTTTGTCAAAAAGTAGCACTTACTTGCTTTTTGTGTGTGCGTGGAGGGAGGGAGACACTGTGCCCATAGCTACTCACTGGTTCATTTAACAACTGCTTTTAAGGACTGTGGCAGCTGTTCACAAAAGAGGTCGGTCACATCACGGCGATAAGCCGAGGACTGCCTGTCATCCGGTCCAAGAAGCCAAGAGCTCCCGCCAAGCCTTCCTCGGTACGGGAGCTTTCTGCCTGCAAGAGGAGAGAAGCCGTGGGACCCCGGGGTCCTTGGTCAAAGGCCCCCACCCCCTCCGCCTGTCTGGCTCCTTCCTTGCACTGAAACCTCTTGGGATTCCCCCGCTTTCCTGGCACACAAGTCAGCCTCCGTCCGACCATGAACGGTTCTAAGAAAGCGGGGACCCCGTCTGGACATCTAGAGGAGGAAGAGGATGGACAGCTGGTGCTGGAAGGTGTGCGGTGCAGCTATTGCTAAAAACCTGCAAGGAGAGACAGCCCCGGGCTCTTTGGGGTACCAGGAGTCCGTCCTGCCCAGCCCTTTTCCCTATCGGAGCCGCCAGGAGGAGGACGCTGCTGCTAGAATAGCCGGAATGAGCGGCTACGAAACAGGGGGAGCTGCTGTGTCGTTGCAGGTCACCTGATTAACAGAACCGGCTTTCCTCCTACTCCTCCTCCTTCTTCTTCTAGAGAAGAGCCACACACCCTCCTCCTCTTTAGGGATCAGCATCGGACACTCCCTGTCTCAAAACGACCGAAATGAGCCGACCGCGACAGTCTTTGCAAAACTATTTTTTAAAATGGCAGCCTGCTTTAACAGCTTCATCTTTTCCTTTTCGAAGACTCCAAAGCAGCTGCGAGTGGGACGATGCACACAAAAGGGAATTTTTGCAGTTTGGGTTAGTTACGTCGGCTGAGGTGTGCGGGGATAAAAGTCTGGTGCCCACTCGTTTGCCAAGCCACGTTGTTAAAACTTTACATGAATGTGTTAGTTTCCAGGCAGCGTCCCTGCGTATTTTAACATCTAGAACAATTTATCAAAATGGGTCCAAGTAATTTATTCAAAAGCGGGAGTTCTAAACCTCTGGGAGAGATCGACCGAGCCCCTCAGTGAGGAACCGCTTGCATTAGGGGCAGGCGAAGGAACGTTAACCCAAAATTTTATCTACAATATCCCAAACCCCGGATTTCTACGGCGGTATTATCGACAGGCTAGGGAACCCCAGGCAGAGGCGTCCTCCCCAGGGGCGCTTTCTGAAGAGCGGCGGTCGATGGCACCTCCGGGGAGGGGGAAGGGCTTCCGGCGGGAGATCCGGCCGCTGGGGCGGAGGCTACAGGAGCCGGGCGTGGCGTCTGTGGGGCCGGGCGTAGCCGCTGTCGCTCGAGCTGCCTTGCAAGCTGTCTTCTGCGTCACTGCCGCTCCCGCTGCTGTCCATCTCGGCCGGAGTGAAGCCCAGGCCTTCAATGTCCACCTCTACACAGGGGAAGAGGAGGGAAGCGTCAGAGTTGAAGCCCATAAGCCTCCAAGGTGCCAAGATTGGACATTCCTGGGTTAGGATATGTGTACAAAAGAGTTTCCACTTGCAATAAATGCACTTAAAGCAGTGTTTCTCAACCTTGACCATTTTAAGGCATGTGGACTTCAACTCCCAGAATTCCACAGCCAGCAATGCTGGCTGTGGAATTCTGGGAGTTGAAGTCCACATGCCTTAAAATGGTCAAGGTTGAGAAACACTGACTGAAAGGGTAACTCCAACTTCTCAAACTAACTCTTACCTTTAGTAACCAAGAATAAAGTCCACTATTCATTCTGCACGATAATAGTAACAATGCAACAATCACCTCAGTAGGTCCTGGGACATGGTCCAACATTAACATGGCAATTGTTGCAGGATTGCCTCAAATTGGATGGGAACAAGACGTGGCTCACAGCCTGAGCTGTCGTTTGTTTTGCAAAGAACATGCTGAATCTTGATGCTTTGCACCTCTGGCTTCATTCTTCTCGGCAGCAACCGGTTTTCTCTCTAACTGCTAAATACATTTATTTTTCCAGCCCATCACCAATTGTTATTGAAATTTTGTTTTTCAAAAAGAAGTTGGGTAGCTTTGAATGGCCTCGAGTCTTCCTGCTGCACACCCTGCCCCTGTCGGTGCATTTCAAGCGCGGATACTTTTAGATGGGAGATCGCAGAATTCGAACCGCCTACCTTGCTCCGAATCCGTCGATATCGTTGATCCGAGGCTGTCAGTGCGGACTCGCTCCAGGCCCTGCACGGAGAGCTGCTCCAATCGACGCTTGAGGTACCGATGTTCTCGCTGCAGTTGTTCTTTAATGTTTAGAGCTTTCCGGTCCTGTTCTTCCAATTTCTACAGAGCCAAATCAATGAGACCCATCTGCTTAACAAAGAAAGTAATCTCCTGCTCGCATCTGATTGGCCCCCGGATTGCCGGGAAGTGATCCTGAAGAGGACTGCAAGGTCCAGACTATCCCCACATGGGTGATATAGTAGCTGCCACTTTTCTTGCAAAGGGTGGTGGTAGGCAAGGAAGCTGGAGACTTTTCCCAGCAGCCCTGATTAGGATAGTGGGGGGCAGGGGGGGCGGAGAAGGGAGGGGCTCCAAGTACTTGCTCCCCCAACTATTTCTACAGAAATGAACCAAATCCCTGCTGCTACTATCAACGGGGGAAATAATCCTGATTAACTTTGTTCCCCCCAAAAGACTCTCTTTCCTGAACAACAATCCTTGGTTGGGTTCATGCACACATCAAGCTGTAGGATATCATAATAGTCTGTCAAACAGAATGATTAAACGGATACGGAACCATGTAAGCAAAAAAAAAAAAAAAATCACAGCTTAAAAAGCAACTGACTTTACAGTTCTCCAGGAGGTAGTCACAAAGAAAGGAAAAGCGTTTAGTTGAGTACAAAGTGGGTGTTACAAACAACTTGCTGTGGGTAAGTTGAGATTGTAACTCAGAACCCTTTTCCTGTTAGTTAAAATGGGTGTTTCCGAATGGCGCAGGGGCGTCCGAGGCCTGCGCAGCCTCTGCTGCAACGTCCACGTAAATCCATTTGCGCCGGAGGAGAACCAGGTGAAACATGAGCCCTTAATCCTCTCTCTTTCAGCTACCTTTGGCCTCACCTCCGTCCCCACTAAGGTAAACAT